ACATAAATCCTAAATGAATAATGCAACTCCACAAATTTTCAATCACATGTCAAACATCTAAAATACAAATATAATTTTTTAAAAACATTTTGTCACAGGTCTAAATCTTTAAAGAAGGATGGAAAAATTTAAGATGTTAGAGAAGTTCAGAGGATGTGAAACAGGATCTGCTGTGTCTCGAGAGAGCTTCATTTCTTGTGATTAATTATTATTTTTTGTGATCAATTTTTAAAAATGTTACAAGCAATATAAACACAAAAACAGCATCATGAGACATTGGATAAAGTTGTCAGGATCTTATTTAATTTTTTCCCAGTGAGACACGTCTTTTGCCAGAATGCTATTGAGAAATAATGAAATTTTATTCAACCAAAATTGCAATAATATATTACTATGTTGGTCAGTTTTCATGAATATAATCAATATAATCAATATAATTTATAGTGTCCATATAATCAATATAATAAATACCAAGTCAATTGATAAGTATGCGTAAATGCATTTTTGTCCTTCTCTGAAAAAAGAGAAAAAAATGTTAACTTTGTTTAAATGTTCTAGCATCAGTAATAGTAATGATCATATTGTGAACTTTTATGCGTTTATACAGAATTCTAAAGAATTCGAAATTACGAAATAATATAGATAATATGAAAAAGTCTACAAAATGTCCAAAATATAGTGCTTTTTTTAAAATATTTATCTAGTGATTATCTATATTAATCTAGTGATGACTAGAGTTTATCCGTTTATCACGATATTGTTGAATAACTGACAAGTTTGCATTGAGTCAAGCGAATATTCTTACTACAGATAAAATTTGGCAGGATTCATCATGGCCTACACTTTCCCTTCATCTAAGATAATATATAAGACTGGTGAAAACCAAGAGACAGAGATTTTATTATTTTACTCAATTAGATTCAGTAACCCAACAAACTAAAATGTACATTGTTTAAATATACACGACTCTGAAATTGGAAAATAAAAATTTTGATATCAGAAGTGAGATGCTTTTGAATATTTGTGATACCTTACTGAGAAAAAAAAGTCAATTTTAATTGGTGAGGAGAGAAGATGATTATCATCTTAAGATCACATAATTTGAACTAGCCAGAAAGTCCCTACGATTTCTATTAACAATTGGCTAGCATGCTAATATACGTAGAAAGTTCCAATTCAGATTTGTAGAGCGTATTGTTGTTTAATAAATTAATTTTCAATCATACATATGTCAAATGAAAATTTTGAAAATTGAATTTACCTGGGGGAGTTTGTCTTCCTATTGTGGATGATTTTCTAGAAAACATTTTGTGATATATTACGTTATTTTATTTTAAAAAAGGAAAGAAACACGACAAACTTGCAAAAAATATGTACAGAAAGGATATTATTGAAGAACGAGTGTGTTAGAGAGATATTGACAAAGTATAAATCCATGGGAAAATGCATCCATCATCTGTGTATCAAAATCCTTTACATGAATCGTTTACATGAACTCAGATTATTGATATTTAGAATCTGCATAACATGAGAAATTGAATGAATTGAGAGCAAAATTTTTTATCCAAATACATAATTTGTATTTTTTTAGTTTAATCTTCATATCTAATACATAATAATAAGATACAATTAATACAGTCAATTTATATAGTGATAAAAAGAATAACTAATGTAATGATTAGGTAGCTGAAGACTGCAAAGGTTTTAAAAATGCCTATTCGTTGTTGAATTTTACAATGACTGAAATATATGTTTTTAACCGTATTAGAAAGAATAAGAAATAGATTTTATGAAATTTTATCAGCTATTTATTAGGAACAAATATGATAGTTGAAAATGCAAAGAATTAGCAATAAAAAAAACATTCTTCATAACTGTTGAAGTATAAAAGAAATATTAATCTCTTAATGGAATTGGATATTTACTGATTGTAAGTACGTACAATTATTTACGTATCCAGCAATATATGTACATTTGTATGTTTTTATTTAACATATATTAATTGATTAAAATTTTTAGTTTTATTGACTGGTTAATATTCGAATCTGAATCCGGGATAGTTGTTGGTGAACAAATCATCAGGCACATCATTGGTTTTTGGAATTCCCTTTGGAATATTTTTCGACGACACCCAAAACGAAGATCTCGAGTAATTTGGACAATTGAATGAATTCGATTGAAGATCCAGAAGTTTTAGTTATTTTTTACATTTGTCGAGAATCCAAAGAGGTTCTAACTTGGAGCATGTACCGACAAGAAACTCAGGTTAGTAGAAAAAGAAATAAAAAGGAAAAAATATTCAAGTGAAAATAAATTTGAGCTATCCATCAAAAATTCGGTTTTTATCAAATTAATTACAGTTTCTGTCCCAGGAGCTGAAATTTTTTGATCCTAAAAATTTCTGTTTCAGGTTGATTAATTAAGAATCCCATATCTTCCATTATCGTTACACAGTTAATTCAAGAATTGTCCAATTCAAAGCATTAGAAAACGAACATAAATCAGTAGAAGAACATAAGTTGCAAGAACCTGGGTCCGTAATCTCTTCTAGAATTTTTTATATATAAAAATGACAGTCTGAGTAATGAAAGGAGTAATGAAGAACGCTTAACTCAACTAATAGCAGAGAAAGGATAATATCTATAGAAGAAATGGAAGAAATATACCGAAGGAGTCGATCAGAAGTGACTTTTGCTATTTGGTAAAGCGAAAGGAATGACAATCTGAATGTAAACAAATGAGGCCGATACATCGTTCGTTAATTTTTACGTTGATTATATCATAAGTAAATGTGATGCTATGTGCAATTACTTTATGGGATTAACGGTACACCCAGAAATGCAAAAGGACACGTATACTATGCACAGATAATGCATTCATTTACTAAACATTAAATATTTATACTTCAGTATGAGTTAGAACGGTAAAAAAAAGAAATCAAAATATTCTGTAAGGACTGTAGAATACAAATATTACAAATGTAACATCCAGATACATATATTGATATACAGTGACATACAGTATACACATAGTTATCTTAAGACTAAACTTAATTAAACTAATTGTAAGCCATTGATTCTATTACACACTACTCAATCCTCCACTCTTCTACATTCAAAAATCAGATCCGTGTGTGTGTGTCTTCTCTTTCTCACACTTATACCCTCAAAATTATATTATTTTACAAATATTATACATAAAATACATAACGTTGTACATAGCATTTTGCAGAAGTATTGTAAGCCTCAGTCGCTTTAAAGTGATAAACTTGCTATGAACGTTGCTTTCGGCTCTTGTCGATTTAGCAGACCGATTAATTGTGTAAACTGCTAAGAGTCATAAAGTATAATTATAGTGGAGCATCGTAACAAAAACATTAAATGAATTGTAATGAGCCGTACATTGTTCTTCGAAGGACTATTATTGCAAAAATCATTTTGCAATAATAGTCCTTCATCTTCTATAATTTTCTATTATGTATTGTTGAACTGGCGGCTCGCGAACCAATCATGACTTGTACTCCTCTTTGAAAGCTCACTTTACTTTATTTCTTTCTCCTTCGAATGCTACGCGAGTCCCACCATCACTCTCGTTTTTTACAACAAAAATTAAAAATACTTTCATGACTTTTTTTGGTACTTGAGTACCGCGTGTGCCAAATTTATGAATCTCAGATGCACAGCGAATGAAGTTTCTGCTTTATGCATTAATTTCTTCGTTATATTTTTTTCTATATTTTTACCTTAAAAAGAGTTACTTTTTTTTGTACAGTGTATTTTCTGGTTTCAACATTTATCATAGTAATAAATAAATTTCAAGCTCTCAGAAAGCTAAAAAGATATATAATTTTAAAGTATGTTGTATATTTCCCAAACCATTTTTGGTACACGCGGCATTTTGAGACAATTCACTCAAAATTGTCTTAAAATATCGACACTCAACGTGTTAAATGAAACATGATAAAGCAGTATAAGAATATATAATAATAATAAATGGTTGAGACTCCGGCCCAGCCGTAAATTATGAAAAATTGAATTATGGGTTATGAAAATGTACCGTCGCTAATGTATGTATATGTGAAAAGATACTTTTCCATAAATTGACAAAGTTAAAAGATTGAACGAAACATGTGTAATAATTTGCATCTGGTAAAAGAATCGGTCAGGACTTGAAAGAAAAAAAAGGGAAGCTTTGTTTCCATTTTGTTTTCCTTCAGACTCTAATCAATTCTTTCACCACTCACAGTCTAGCCATTATCGCACATGTTTGATTTATTTTTTTTCACCTTATCAATTATGATCTCTTCTCATCTACATGTTAGCGATGATGCATTTTCATAAACAGCTGAAAACAGCTTTCCATAATTTACGACTGTAAATCAGGGCCTTAACAACTGATTATTATTATGCATTCCTATATTACTTTATCATATTTTACTTTAAAAAAAAGTCGATATGAAATTGTTTTCAATTTCTGTTACAAAAAGCAAATGATGACGGGATTTAGTACAGCATCCGGAGGAGAAAGAAACAACAGAGTTAAATATATAGAAGACTCTTCCCCTACCGTGGCTCTCACACAGGAATACAATCCACAATTGCCACCAGTTCGGCAGGCCTGATATAAAATATTATCCACTATTTCATTATTTTTTCTACCGACTATTACATTATAAGGTCCTTATACTGCCACGTTTACCTTGCATCTGGTACCTTTTGCAACTATCCATTACTTTTAACATTCTTTTGACGTCGATAGAACCCTGACTTTAAAGCGACTAAAGTTCATTTTTAATCCGTCGTGCGAAGGAACTTATTGTTTAAGATTCACGTTCTAACAAAATTAAATTTGGACATATGAAATTAGGAATAGCTTCATCTATAACCATCAGTAAACGTAATGTAAAATATAAGAGGGTCGCTGTCTGAGGGTCAAAATTAAATTTGGACATATGAAATTAGGAATAGATTCATCTATAACCATCAGTAAACGTAATGTAAAATATAAGAGGGTCGCTGTCTGAGAAATTTGACATTTCATACGATATCATACAATATAGATATCAGTTGACTATAAAGAAACTACAGTATGGAAATCGTCATTGAAGGATCAAAATCCATGGCAAAGATAGACTCTAAATCATATATGTTTGGAAACAATGTTACTATTAAAATTGACCTAATTCCTGAAGTTTTTTTCAGTTTGTCATAATCGCAAATTCCTCCAGCTAGCTCTGTTACTGAACAACGCAGTCATGGAGTACAATTTTGATGATGCGTGAGCTTTTGTAATAAATCACCAAATCCTGTGACCAATTATTAGTGTTGATGTTCTTGAAATCCATGGTGTTTGAAACTGCTCCAAAATCAAAGCGCCTACTTAACGACACCATCGAGTGCAATACAGCTTCTAGAGAAGTTTAAGAGAATATTGGAGTGATTGGTTGGTATTTCCAATTGCAGGTGTTCATTGTTTTCCAATTGTAAAGTCATAGAAAAAGGAGACAAAGGAAAAAATAATTTATTCATCGTATCGACTAGGTAGTATTTTGTTACTGAAAAAGTAGTTTTGTTTCAATTGAGCCGTTTATTTTGAAAGTGGCCTAAAATGGGCTGTTACAATAAGGCGCAGTCCGCACTGCCCATAGGGCATATACATGTAGATAATAATTAAAGAATTGCAGGGCTGGGGGCGCACTTACACAGTCTGCAATACACCACCCACTTGCATTCACGCGCAGCTATCCAATTGTTTATAAGGTAAAAATTGCAGGGACGGTGGCATTACGCTCACCGGCCTGTCATGCACACAAATTGATTTAATTTAAATTTAAAAGCTGCAGATGGCGTGGCCCGCCTAGAGATAAAAGAAGGAGAACGCCAGCGTTGGTGCGCCGGCCTTTCCCTTCATTCAACACTGGCACCACGCGTCGGATGCACCTCAATAGTAGAAATAATAATGGCTATAGTCAAAGCATTGCTTGCTATTATTCTGACTACACCAGCTCCGTTTTTCAAAAAAAATCAAGCTGGCTGTTTTAATATTTCTACGTTATTTTTTCATTTTTAAACAAATTACAATACATTTAAAATCATTAAGACTTTGTACACCGAAAATTAGCTGGTTAATAAAATGATAAAAAGGCATAGGTCCCTTGAAAAAAATAAAGTTCCCTTAAAAATTAAAAAAGTTATTTCATTATTTTGAAAGTATCAAAGACGTATTATTTTCTAAACAATGTTTATCATACTAATTAGGTTGGTAAATTATACACCCTTAGAAACACAAAAACATTGTACTATCATATTGTTAGTTACTGATATTTTTAAATTTGTCAAAACGCAAATTTTAAATTTAAATATCTTGATTTAAAGATAAATGAACTTGAGCCACTTTCAAAATAAACGGCTCAATTGTCTATCCAATTCTTATCCTGTTAGCTATGATAAGCAATCATATGTAATCATATCTAATCTACAGTGTCATACCTTATTTCACTTGTTCCCTCTTCTCCTATTAGGTAGCCAACAGTCAAGCATCTTTAAACTCTACTCAAATGCTTTAAAAGATTTAGCCCTTTGTGGTTCTCAGACTAAGATTGCTGAACAATTGTTTTTGCCACTGCGCTGGTGTAGGTTGAATCGTGCGCAAGCAAATGGATCATGGTAGAGTCGTATATAAGTTTCAATAATTTTCCACGTCTTCTTTCGATGACTTCTGTGGATATCTAAACAGACATATGATCTTATCTCAATAACGAATAATGTTATCATAATATATTACTATCATTTAATGAAACTTTTTTGTGCAATTTAATTATTAATTCTAATACGTCTTGCTACTATTATGTGTAATATTATAAATAATTTGTATTTATCCGCTGCACTCTTTTTGTTCAAATATTTTACACATGGATACAAAAAATAATAAAATTTATATAATATATATAAAATCCAATTGTACTCTCGTTTGATTATAATTCACTGTTGCAAATTCTTATTTAATTGTTATTGTTATTATTGATATTGTTTAGTTATACTATTTTTAAGCAATAATAATTACAATCTTTCTTCATCAATATACAATCTTTCTAAGCAATAATAATTACAATCTTTCTTCATCAATATACAATAGAACTTAAAGGATCAGTTTTTATAGTAGATAAATCTAAGTGTGCATCTATTTTGTAATCCAATTCTCTTACAATTGTCACATTATCACCTGTGATAATACGTAAACCTAGTATTGTTTTCTTTACATCTTGAGTTATACTATGCACATGTTTATAAGACTCATCTAATATTATTAATTATTTGGTCAAAACTTTTTTTAATGTTCCGATGAAATTTCTACTATCAGAAGTGATTATAAAAATAGAATGATTTACATGACTTTCCAAACCTGACGCTATAATCTTAATCGTTAATTATACATTAAAATAATTTTTTCTACGTAATATTTTCTTTCCAATATAATGTGATTACATACGCGTTGTAATTGTTGTTTGTATACCAAATGCGTATCAATTAATTTACTGTACATGTTTTGCAATGTACAATTACATTTAGAAAAAAATTTCCTGTACATTAGGAATGATTTATTTTGAATGTATCTGATGTTCGATTAATCACATGAATTGGAACGTTGAAATAAAAGCTTACCACATTCACTTATGTTATGGAATGTTATATCATTAGCAATTTCTTCTCTGCTGGAAAACAATTGATTCTAACGTACCTGCTTTTGGTTTTCTGCTAGGATTTCTGCTTAGATTAGTGTTAGTAAAATTCCTTTTACAATGTTACATTTAGAAGGGTTGAAATCGATTCTTCCATTTCTATTCGAGATGACGTCTCCTAAATGCCAAAGAGATACACCTTTGAACAACTTCTACTCTTCATTGCAGCCATCTCGCTGGAAAATCTTTGTCGCAAATGGAATCGCCGAGATATTGTATGCAATCCTAGAAATGGC